GTAATGTTTAATTCCTGCCTTTAACATGTGGATTTCCTCCTATGGCCCAACAGGTGCAGATATCACACCAACCTTAGGTTGCCGCTGATCTACCCTCACCCTTACCGACAGATCACTGTGGAGACAGAATTTGACAACCCGCTTTATGAGACAGGAGGAGTAAGTGTGCAAATGTGGAAATTATTACAAGTTAGAGGCAGAAAACATAAAAACCTTTTGTTTTTATATTTTTATGTTCAGTTTTAATATTAAAACAAGTGTCATTACTTTTCTCAAAGCAGGTAAGTCATTTTTTAAAAGATTTCACATGAATAACATCTTTGGAACCCTTACCTTACCTATGATAATCAGCTGCAGTGAGTCTGCTAAACCTTCTTGCTAAATGTGTAGCATTAGCTTAAAGTGGTTTTTCAAATGACATGTTGAGAAAACTAACTTACAGAGCTTAAGCTGTGTGATAAATAGCGCCCTTGGGCCAGAACTGTAACACATTTTTTTACAAGCAGAAGCCCAAGATGGAACCTTTATATTCACATTTTCCTGATACATCAGTAAAATCTGACGCGTAAGCAACATCCGTGAACAACAGGTCTGGACCACATTTTTTGGTCCAGACCAAACCAACAAACCAAAACACTTTCCTGGTGTTAAGTCAAAGCTAGTAGCCTACAACCCCAAACACGACCGAAAAAGAAAAGTTGTGAAAATGATGACAAAATAACGTTGAACTATCTGGGATTTTGTTGAAGTAACGCCGCCTCTATCACTCTCCTTCACTTTCAGCAGGACACTCGTGAATATGAAGTATCAATATGAAACATTTCTAAAGACACTTCTGAAGCAACCACCCGGCGCTGACACCTCATCATCCCTCCCTGACCCTTTCTACCCAGGAGGAGGCCATGTAAATACAAATAATGATGTCCAGCCCCTCCGTGCTACAAGACACAGTCACTCATCTCCCCCCCTCCTCCCTTTGATGTGATAGCTTTTGTAGACATAATGGGAAACTGAAGACGAACCTGTGAAGCAAAGAGATAGTGACACAAGTCGGTGACACATCGGCGGGAGGCAATATGGACAGGATATGTAAAGGAAGACGTCGGGGACAGGACGCCGTGGGAGGAATGTGAAATTAGAGGGTCAAAACATGTTCTTTTTGGGAGAAACTAGATTTCTAATCATTTTTGTTTCACTTGTAACACAGCTGCTGTCGGACTTTTATTCTGTAGAAGCCAAGTTAATGTATTTTGTAGTTACCTTTGTTACTGAAGGAGTTTGACATTTCTGTGCTAAATTTAAAATATTTACATGCAGGAAATTCACAGAAAACAATCATAATTTATTTCACATTTAAAATCTAGGTGAGAAATGTTTATCTTTTTTGGAAAGATCAAATTGAAATGTAAATATTAGTTGAGGGACATAAAATGCCACTGCAGTCTATTGCACCATAACTGTCAGACTATAGGGGGCTCTGTTGTGCTGTCAGATGTAAATAATAGATTTAAAGGGGCAGTACTATGTAAAATCAACCTTTTTTGAGCTTTATGTCATGTCATAATGTTATTCCCTCATCAGAACCATACCTGGAGTATTGCTTTCATTCTTTCATGCATGTTTGAGAAATCCTTTAATCTCCCATGGCAACCATTCAGCTGTGCAAAGCTCTGCTTTACTTATACTGAATCAGCTGATGGGACAAAACTGATACAAATAATACATGTTTAAGGCACTCTGTTTTACCGCCAGTCAAAACATTTTGGATTGTTTCAAAGAGGAGAAATGAACTAAATCCCACTACTGTGGAAAAAGTTATTTTTGAATAACATTGCCAAAAAATGTCCCACAAGTATATTCAATATACACCAAAAAACAGGCAAATATAAATAAATTATATAAGATTTTACAATGGTATGAAAAAATACTTCCTCCCCCTTAGATTTCTTTTTTTTCACATGGAAAGAAATTGTCCTGCCATCAATTAATAACCTCCAGGGCAAATCACTGCAGGTTGTCTGCTGCGTGAGCCACTTAGCTGAATGAATCATCATCAGTGAATAATGGACTAAGTAGCACTAGTCATTGCTACATTAGCATAGCATTTACAGGCTGTAGCGGGGGAATGTACATGATGTGTCTCATGCCTGAAAATGTGTGCAGCCTGCTTCAGCTACAGCTCACATTCCAGTAGATGGTCAGGGAAATTATACTAGTTATTTGTCAAAGCTGCAGTAGGTAACTTTTATAAAAACCAATGTTTTGTGTATATTTCTTAAACTATGTCAGGACAGTATAACAGACAAACTGGAAAAAATGAGCTCCTTTGTCTCAAAAATGCACAAATCAGAAGCAGCCAATCAGAGCCTGGGGGAGGGTCTTAGCGCTGTCAATCAACCTTGTGTAATCGTTTCTCAATATGCTAATGGCGGAGAAACAATTTACCTTTCCAGGAAAACTGTTTATCCGTTGTCATTGGTGATCCTGCTAATTACCGTTAGCATTCATGACAGGCTCCTTTGCACAGAAGAAGCAGTGATGCAGCAGTGGGAAAGAGGGAGGGTGCAAGCAACACATACATGAGCCTGATTGACAATGCTAAGACCCTCCTCCTATCTCTGATTGGTTGTTTCTGACTGAGCTGCATTTGTTCAGATGGAAAGAGGAACACAGAAAGCAGGCAGAAGAGGCGGATTTAAATATTAGTTGAGGGACATAAAATGAACTGTCTGGGATTTTGTTGAAGTAACAAAATCCCAGACAGTTCAATGTCTGGGATTTATGAAATGATTTATGAGAAAATGTTCTCATATTTTCTCATACGAGACAAATATGAGAAAATTTGTCTCATACTGTCACAACATGGTAACAGCTTTAACAAATACCTAAAATATATGTATATTTTATAAAAGCTACATACTGCAGTGAATTTTTGAAACAAGAAACAGACCAACAATAGTGTGCTTGGGTTACTAAAATCCAGACACAAAAAAAACTCCTGTCCATCCGATTCCACTGGAACTTTAACATCCACATTTGAACATGGGCCTCTCTTTCAATGACTTAATTTATTCAGGTGCTGCTAACGCTAACTATCAAAGCTCACTGACAGTTCATGAGAACGGCGGGGGAATTTCTCTGTCCACATCGATGAGTCATGTTCTCTTCCCAATAACTGACAATACTAAGAAGGAAAATGTAGCGTCTTTTATTTTTTTAACCCAGTCGGCCTAACGCAGAAAGCCTCCTGTCCCCCAGTGTCCACCCAGGGCCAATGCAGAACTCTTGTCTTCTTCTTTTCGCATGTAGCTGGATTAACAGACGTGCCGTGACACGCCAGGAGAGGCTGGTGGTCAGAGAGGGGTCATGACCAGGCTTCACTGCGAGACGTGAAATGCGTAGCTGTAGTTAATTGATCAGTATTAAAGTGCAACTCAAGCGATCCCAGAAGAAGACGTATTTATTTTGATGTACTGTAAATGTGACGTTTTATGCAGAATAATAAATGTACATTTTCATTATGATTGGAAAAATATGATCAGTTTACTTAAATAAGAAGTAAAACTTGAATTAAAAAATGTGAAAAAGTTTGTAAAGACTGGAGTGTTTTAAGATGTGTGTGTGTGTGTGTGTGTGTGTCATGTTTTATATAGTAGGTTTGTTCTTTCAGAGATCTACCTAGAAAAAATATGAAAAATCTAATTTCTGAAATGAATGCATTCCCATCTCCTCTCTTGACCAGCCTTTTGTTTTCCATAAAATGCATCAGATTCCAGTAAATCTATCTGGACTGAACATATGTCTTAGGGGAAGATGAGACATTATCCAGGATTTCTGCATAATCTTACTGTGGAGAATTATGCAGAGGTAGGAATTAAGATTTTTTTTTTTAGATTAAATTTCCTTTCTGTCCATCACTCCACCCATTCTCATATCAGTGTTTTTATTTTTTATTTTTTTTGTTATACAGATTCCATGTTTAGAATTTGACCTCCAAGAAGTCGGGCTTCAGAAATAGCAACATATTGAAGAAAGTCTATGATTTTGACATTAAAATGGATTTTTAAAAATGAACAATCCTACTCTATAAAAGGGAAGTGAACTATAACTAAATGTTAACATTACCACAAAATAATGTTCTTATGGGTAAAAATGGACGTGAGTTGAAAATGTTTAAAATGAATAGATGAAAAGTCAGAATTAGACAGGGCAGCATTTCTCTGAGGTTTGAAATCAGTCTGATACAGAATCTAACCACAGTTTCTATTCAAAATCACCAATCAGATTTGAGCTGAGGTTATTGGACAAGCACATGAGCGAGCCCAGGACCAAGATCCGCCCCAAGAAGCCCAACCAGATGGCCAGCCTGTGGGGAATGCTGCGCCTCCTGGGCCGGCTGGGCGGACACACCGAGATAATGATGGAACAGAGAAGCCTGTGGGCTGCTGTCATTAGCAGGATCCACTCAGTATTTATTTATTTTTTATTACTTATAAGGATCCACTCAGTATGACGGGCACAATGTGACACATTATCTAGTAAACATTCACATTCTTTTTTTTTTTTTTTTTACACTAGCAATGGTAGATCTCATTAACTGCGTTTCCCTTACAAATGTGTGTAAATCTTTGTAAAGGTTAATCTCTCAATAATCCTCCTCATTTTTTATCTGTCACCATCATCCCTACCTGGATCTCGCCTCCTACTAACTTCCTGTTGTTTCAGGTTCCATCTGGTAAACTCAAGAAAAGATATTTCCTGATGACCAAACCCCGACACAGAGGATGGTCAGAGTTGTCTACAATTTTCTTTGTTTTATGAGGAATCCTTCTTTGCATCATCATCCTCAGAGGTTTCATAGTCGTACCCAGAACAGAACCAGCCTTCTATATCAGGTTGTTGAGCCTTTTAGGTCCCTGGCTCTGATGCTGCTGCCCCAACAGATGACAGCAGAGGAGATGATGCTCTCAACTACAGACTGACAGAAGATCTGCAGCATCTTGCTGCAAACCTTGAAGGATCTTAGCTTCATCAAGAAGTCTAGTCTGTTAATTCCATTCTTATATAACAGCTTCACTGTTGCGTCTCCAGTCCAGTCTGTTGCCAACAACTGCAGAGTCATCTGAGTATTTCTGTAGATGACAGAGGTCAGACTTGTGCTGGAAGTCTGAAGTGTAGATAGTGAAAAGGAATGGTGAGAGTACAGTCCCCTGTGGTGCTCCTGTGCTGCTGACCACCTGGTTAGATACTCAGTCCTTCAGTCTCACAAACTGTGAGGCTGAATGGGAACATCAGTTTTTAGAAGCACAATGTCTGAAACAAGACTCATCACCATCCTGATGTGATTTGACAGCAAAGCAACCAGAGCTGTCATACAGGCCACATAGAAAACTGTCTAATATCATAAGTGGACTCAACATTCCCACATTGTGATGGTTAAACTAATGGTAAAATTCCTTTGAAGAACTTCCATTCCTGTTTGTAGCTTTAACTTCCATTCTGCTTGATAAACGACTTCTCTCTATCCTAATGTTGTCGTCTTGCAAATATATAATGGCTTTGAGGCAAATTCTCCCATGTGGCTTTTCCCTACCTCCAGCCTCCTTTAATGTCCTAATGACTCTCTTTGTAACCAGCAGGAATTCTAATCGGAGTACAAGGTTTCCTGCATGGTAATAGTTTCTAGTGGCTTCCCTGCTGCGTTTAATTCATCTCTTGAGAAGCTTTTAACCAGATGCTTGATAATATCCGGCTCTCTGAGAAACCCACACACAGGTTTAATGAACCAAAAGACACTCGCAGAACCAGAATTACCACCTGCAGTTACTGTGTATAGCTGGTGGTACCATTATCCAGAGACACTCGGGAGCGCAGCGACAGGAAAAGATTCTTAATACAACAAAGAACTCACAGCGCTGAAGAAAAACATGCAGTAAGAATCCATCAGTAATATTTGAAAAGACGCAAAAGAGGTATTTGCTCACTCTTCAATGTTATTACATTAAGGTGTAGATTGCTTCTGCAAATCTTTGTGAATTAAAGGGCCACTCAGTGAATTCCAGCATTAGCACTGTGATAGCAAGCCTCCTGAGTGTAAGTCCAGTTTGGTGGAGTGCATGAATGCTAAAGTAGCCATGTTTCTTCAGCGTCACCATCCATGCTTCCAATAACCATGTGCAGTAATTGTACAATTTGAAATTTTGAAAATAAATTTGCTTAATAAATTCCCAGGTTTTCCCTTTTTAACACTCATGGAACCTCTTCAATCCACCACGATGCGCCTGCATGAGAAAAATGCTTCAATTTTGAAAACATTGTAATTGTTTAGTTTGAAGGATAAAGGTGGTGATATTTCTCATTGTCTTACATAAGCACGTACAACAATCCTTCAAAACATTCACAGGTTCTCCAGTGACATTGTGAAGCTAAAGTTTCTTCAGTTTAGCTCAAGTAGCTCAAGTAGAAGCATCTGCGTTGCTGCATTTCCATTAACCCTAAAATTGTGCAATTTGACATTTCAAAAATAAATTTGTTATTTTCTGTTA